AGGATGTTTCCCCAATCACTACAATCTTAACCTGTTCAAGTCTAGAGTTAACCGTTATCTTCCCAGTTAACCGTTATCTTCCCCACCTATCCATATAAACTACCCATTGGTGAGAAGTAAGTTCCACTCGAACAGCTTCTTCCCACGAACCACTGCCCAGGGGAACAGACTCCCAAGAGGATGTTTCCCCAATCACTACAATCTTAATCTGTTCAAGTCTAGAGTTAACCGTCAAGGATATCTCCCCAATCCCCTTAACCTATCCATATAAACTACCCATTGGTGAGAAGTAAGTTCCACTCGAACAGCTTCTTCCCGCGAACCACTGCCCAGGGGAACAGACTCCCAAGAGGATGTTTCCCCAATCACTACAATCTTAACCTGTTCAAGTCTAGAGTTAACCGTTATCTTCCCCACCTATCCATATAAACTACCCATTGGTGAGAGAAGTAAGTTCCACTCGAACAGCTTCTTCCCGGGAACCACTGCCCAGGGGAACAGACTCCCAAGAGGATGTTTCCCCAATCACTACAATCTTAATCTGTTCAAGTCTAGAGTTAACCGTTATCTTCCCCACCTATCCATATAAACTACCCATTGGTGAGAAGTAAGTTCCACTCGAACAGCTTCTTCTTTGCGAACCACTGCCCAGGGGAACAGACTCCCAAGAGGATGTTTCCCCAATCACTACAATCTTAACCTGTTCAAGTCTAGAGTTAACCGTTATCTTCCCCTCCTATCCATATAAACTACCCATTGGTGAGAAGTAAGTTCCACTCGAACAGCTTCTTCCCGCGAACCACTGCCCAGGAGAACAGACTCCCAAGAGGATGTTTCCCCAATCACTACAATCTTAATCTGTTCAAGTCTAGAGTTAACCGTTATCTTCCCTCCTATCCATATAAACTACCCATTGGTGAGAAGTAAGTTCCACTCGAACAGCTTCTTCCTAACGAACCACTGCCCAGGGAACAGACTCCCAAGAGGATGTTTCCCCAATCACTACAATCTTAACCTGTTCAAGTCTAGAGTTAACCGTTATCTTCCCCACCTATCCATATAAACTACCCATTGGTGAGAAGTAAGTTCCACTCGAACAGCTTCTTCCCGCGAACCACTGCCCAGGAGAACAGACTCCCAAGAGGATGTTTCCCCAATCACTACAATCTTAACCTGTTCAAGTCTAGAATCCGTTAACACCTATCCATATAAACTTAACCTGTTCGAACAGCTTCTTCCTAGAACCACTTAGGGGAACAGACTCCCAAGAGGATGTTTCCCCAATCATACAATCTTAATCTGTTCAAGTCTAGAGTTAACCGTTATCTTCCCCCTCCATCCATATAAACTACCCATTGGTGAGAAGTAAGTTCCACTCGAACAGCTTCTTCCCGCGAACCACTGCCCAGGGTAACAGACTCCCAAGAGGATGTTTCCCCAATCACTACAATCTTAATCTGTTCAAGTCTAGAGTTAACCGTTATCTTCCCCACCTATCCATATAAACTACCCATTGGTGAGAAGTAAGTTCCACTCGAACAGCTTCTTCCCGTGAACCACTGCCCAGGAGAACAGACTCCCAAGAGGATGTTTCCCCAATCACTATAATCTTAACCTGTTCAAGTCTAGAGTTAACTGTTATCTTCCCCTCCTATCCATATAAAACCCACCCATTGGTGAGAGAAGTAAGTTCCACTTGAACAGCTTCTTCCCGCGAACCACTGCCCAGGGGAACAGACTCCCAAGAGGATGTTTCCCCAATCACTACAATCTTAATCTGTTCAAGTCTAGAGTTAACCAAATCTTCCCCTCCTATCCATATAAACTACCCATTGGTGAGAAGTAAGTTCCACTCGAACAGCTTCTTCCCACGAACCACCACCCAGGGGAACAGACTCCCAAGAGGATGTTTCCCCAATCACTACAATCTTAATCTGTTCAAGTCTAGAGTTAACCGTTATCTTCCCCTCCTATCCATATAAACTACCCATTGGTGAGGAGTAAGTTCCACTTGAACAGCTTCTTCCCGCAAACCACTGCCCAGGGTAACAGACTCCCAAGAGGATGTTTCCCCAATCACTATAATCTTAACCTGTTCAAGTCTAGAGTTAACTGTTATCTTCCCCTCCTATCCCTATAAACTACCCATTGGTGAGAAGTAAATTCCACTCGAACAGCTTCTTCCCGCGAACCACTGCCCAGGGTAACAGACTCCCAGGAGGATGTTTCCCCAATCACGACAATCTTAATCTGTTCAAGTCTAGAGTTAACCGTTATCTTCCCCTCCTATCCATATAAACTACCCATTGGTGAGAAGTAAGTTCCATGAACAGCTTCTTCCCGAACGAACCACTGCCCAGGGTAACAGACTCCCAAGAGGATGTTTCCCCAATCACTATAATCTTAACCTGTTCAAGTCTAGAGTTAACTGTTATCTTCCCCTCCTATCCATATAAACTACCCATTGGTGAGGAGTAAGTTCCACTTGAACAGCTTCTTCCCGCGAACCACTGCCCAGGGGAACAGACTCCCAAGAGGATGTTTCCCCAATCACTACAATCTTAACCTGTTCAAGTCTAGAGTTAACCGTTATCTTCCCCTCCTATCCATATAAACTACCCATTGGTGAGAAGTAAGTTCCACTCGAACAGCTTCTTCCCGCGAACCACTGCCCAGGGTAACAGACTCCCAAGAGGATGTTTCCCCAATCACTACAATCTTAATCTGTTCAAGTCTAGAGTTAACCGTAATCTTCCCCTCCTATCCATATAAACTACCCATTGGTGAGAAGTAAGTTCCACTTGAACAGCTTCTTCCCGCAAACCACTGCCCAGGGTAACAGACTCCCAAGAGGATGTTTCCCCAATCACTATAATCTTAACCTGTTCAAGTCTAGAGTTAACTGTTATCTTCCCCTCCTATCCATATAAACTACCCATTGGTGAGGAGTAAGTTCCACTCGAACAGCTTCTTCCCGCGAACCACTGCCCAGGGTAACAGACTCCCAAGAGGATGTTTCCCCAATCACTACAATCTTAATCTGTTCAAGTCTAGAGTTAACTGTTATCTTCCCCTCCTATCCATATAAACTATCCATTGGTGAGAAGTAAGTTCCACTTGAACAGCTTCTACCTGCGAACCACTGCCCAGGGGAACAGACTCCCAAGAGGATGTTTCCCCAATCACTACAATCTTAATCTGTTCAAGTCTAGAGTTAACCGTTATCTTCCCCTCCTATCCATATAAACTACCCATTGGTGAGAAGTAAGTTCCACTTGAACAGCTTCTACCTGCGAACCACTGCCCAGGGGAAGAGACTCCCAAGAGGATGTTTCCCCAATCACTACAATCTTAATCTGTTCAAGTCTAGAGTTAACCATTATCTTCCCCTCCTATCCATATAAACTACCCATTGGTGAGAAGTAAGTTCCACTCGAACAGCTTCTTCCCGCGAACCACTGCCCAGGGGAACAGACTCCCAAGAGGATGTTTCCCCAATCACTACAATCTTAATCTGTTCAAGTCTAGAGTTAACCGTTATCTTCCCCTCCTATCCATATAAACTACCCATTGGTGAGAAGTAAGTTCCACTTGAACAGCTTCTTCCCGCGAACCACTGCCCAGGAGAACAGACTCCCAAGAGGATGTTTCCCCAATCACTACAATCTTAATCTGTTCAAGTCTACAGTCAATAGTTATTTTCCCCTCCTATCCATATAAACTACCCCTTAACGTAACTTTCCACCTCGTTTTGTACAGGGTGAACCTTGTATTAATTTTTTTCGGAGGACAGCCCCCTATACACCTTCTCACTGGAGACAGAAAAAAAACTTACAAATTATGACATAAGGAGTATTTTCATGTTTCACAAAGCCAATATATATATATATATATATATATATATATATAATATCGACATCCAGTGTATGTTCTATGCGTGTAGGTGGTAGTGTGTAGAAGTAGTACCTTTGTTATTTGGCTGCTCTTATTATTAAGATGGACGGGCAAGACTGGTTATCACCCATCCCCTAAATCTCAACGCGCCAAACGCTATAAACCGCTTCAGCAGGCGGGCTAAATCACGTGAAAATACCATCGAAAGGCGCTGCATTCTTCTGTGCATTATTAGCACCAGAGAGATACAACTCCGTGATAATAAAACCTGAGTTGTGTTGTTCATTGTATTCGTGGCAAATATTTGCACCAACTCCTTGTTATCAGTATTTCCAATAAGTGTGACTGATTCTTTCCAAGCCTTCACCACTCTAAACAAATCTTTTGTGTGGATAGTCTGCAGTTCACTTCAGTGTTCCTTCTTTGCTATTCCACCTGAGCAACGAGTCCACTGGCAAGAGACTTAAGGAAATGGAGACAGGTACAAAATAAAAAACTGAACTGAAAACACTCATACATCGAAAACGACGGGAGAATCGTCAAATATATATATATATATATATATATATATATATATATATATATATATATATATATTTGAACAAGGACTTGATGCCACAGAACAGAAATACAGTTTTGAAAATACACAAAGGCATTTTTACCTTAAGGAATTTTTTTCAGCGAACACTTCGTTAGAAGGAAAATATTCACGTGACTTTTGACGAGAACAAAGAAATGAACAATTCATACGGTGATTAAAAAAAAAGAATTTTAAAAAAGTGACTTCTAAGGTCACTCCAACGTTTTCCTTCTGACGAAGTATTGGCTAAACGGATTCCTTAAGATAAAAATGCATTCGTGTATTTTCAAAACTATACCGTATATGTCCGCGTATAAGACGACCTCTAGATCTAAAACAAATCACCCTTAAAAAATAGGGTGTCGTCTTATACTACAAATCTAAAAAAGAAACTTTGAATCTTGAGTGATGTTTGTCGGTAGACTAACCTCGGTCTCGGCGCGTTAACCAAGAACCTACATGAAAAGATTCACATCATCAAATAAACTGATCACAAATAATTATGTGCTTTTAATAATACTTTAACTTCATGTCTGTCTTATATTGTGTGGTAATTAAGATAGATAGATAGATAGATAGATAGATAGATAGATATGAACAAGTACAAAGAAGAGAACAATTCACATAATGAATAAAAGAAAAAAAAGTGACTTCTAAGATCATGCCAACGTTTTCCTTCTGATGATTCCTTAATGTAAAATTGCATTTGTGTATTTTCAAAATTTTGCCGTATATATCCGCGTATAAGACGACCTTTAGATCCCAAAAGTCACCCTTAAAAATAGCGGGGGGCGGGGGCGTCACATACTTCAATTCTAAATAAGTAGAGTGATATTTGTCAGTAGGCTAATCTTTTGGCATTGGTGTGATAACCAAGAACGTAAATGAAAAGATTCCCATTATCAAATAAACTGATAATAAAAGTAATAAAACAATTTCTACCTTATATATTACTGGCGTAATTTCATAATAAATTGCCTATTCGAAGAATAATTCCATATCAATAAAATCAACTTGTATTCATGCAAAGCTCAGTGTCCTTGAGGACATCTGTGTATGAATTTCTGGGATAAAGGCGTTAGTTAGATCCAGTGACAGGGCCCAAATGTGTGAGTTCAATACCTGGTTAAGGCAGTGAAGAAGTTCGTGAGGGGAATTAACAGGAGATAACTGATAACTGATATCCATTAAACATGGCACGTGGAACTAGAACAGTCTACCCCAGTGAGCGAAATAAAGTATTCAGTTCAACATTCCAACCACCTGAGGAAGGCCGGGGCGTACAACGGCCAAAACGTTGTAATAAATATGGCGACAAAGATGAGAACAATAGTCCGAATAATGTAAATAGTGTACGTAATACCTCATCTCAGAAATATAGACAGATACTGAAGGGTGATAAATATGGCAACAAAGATGAGGACAATAGTCCGAATAATGTAAATAGTGTACATAATACCTCATCTCAGAAATATAGACAGATACTGAAGGGTGATAAATATGGCAACAAAGATGAGGACAATAGTCCGAATAATGTAAATAGTGTACATAATACCTCATCTCAGAAATATAGACAGATACTGAAGGGTGATAAATATGGCGACAAAGATGAGGACAATAGTCCGAATAATGTAAATAGTGTACGTAATACCTCATCTCAGAAATATAGACAGATACTGAAGAGTGATAAATATGGCGACAAAGATGAGAACAATAGTCCGAATAATGTAAATAGTGTACGTAATACCTCATCTCAGAAATATAGACAGATACTGAAGGGTGATAAATATGGCGACAAAGATGAGGACAATAGTCCGAATAATGTAAATAGTGTACGTAATACCTCATCTCAGAAATATAGACAGGTACTGAAGGGTGATAAATATGGCGACAAAGATGAGGACAATAGTCCGAATAATGTAAATAGTGTACGTAATACCTCATCTCAGAAATATAGACAGATACTGAAGGGTGATAAATATGGCGACAAAGATGAGGACAATAGTCCGAATAATGTAAATAGTGTACGTAATACCTCATCTCAGAAATATAGACAAATACTGAAGGAGAAACTTGTATAGATATTGTAATACTAAATTTATTCAGACATCACGAGATTAATAAACGTTCAATAGTCCGAATAATGTAAATAGTATAAAATAAAGAAAATAGATCCAAAATATTGATTATGTCTTTATTAGCATTTTAAATATACAAATAAAACACAAATATGTTGCTTATCACTAGCTCTTTTTTTATTTTTTCCATGAATCTGGATTTTTCAAAACTATTTACATTGGCCAATTATTTTCCGTCCTTTACTTTCTTATTTTCAGTTAAATGAAACCGACTGATAATGTGGATTTTCTTAATGTAATTTTCTTAATGAAATTGAAGAAAGGTACTGTTAGTCGATATATACTGGCTATTCCCAGAGGTAAGGGACGAGAATAAGGATCTGAATTGCTTCTGTTCACACCCTGAACGATGAATGACGATACCTCCCAGAGAGAAGGAAATCCTTGTTACCGGCTATCTGGCCCAAAAGTCTTAGTAAAACTCCCCTTATCCAAGCGAACCAACTTCGTTTGAAGAAAGACGTACTGAATAGAAAGATAACTAACCCGAAACCTTAGACGCAGGATTTTAAACTTTCTGTCAACATGGTTTAGTGTCACTGATGGAGATAATTCTTTCTTTCTTTTTTTCTTTCTTCTTTTTTCTTTTTTTTTCTTTCTTTCTTTCTTTCTTTCTTTCTTTCTTTCTTTCTTTCTTTTCCGTCCTTCTTTCTTTCTTTTCCATCTTCTTTCTTTCTTTTCCTTCATTCTTTCTTTCTTTTCTGTTTTTCTTTCTTTCTTTTCTGTCTTTCTTTCTTTCTTTTCTGTCTTTCTTTCTTTTGCGTCCTTCTTTCTTTTCCGTTTTTCTTTCTTTCTTTCTTTCTTTCTTTCTTTCTTTCTTTCTTTCTTTTCTGTCTGTATTTCTTTCTTTCTTTTCCGACTTTCTTTCGTTTCCGACTCTCTTTTCTT